AGGAGTACCAGGTGCTGCTGGACGTCAAGGCCCGGCTGGAGTGCGAGATCAACACGTACCGGGGCCTGCTGGAGAGCGAGGACTGCAAGTGAGTGGCCAGCAGACATCATCCCTGCAAGGCACATGTATGGTTCTACTCAAGGACAAAACAGAGACTTTTCGGGTTAAGTTTCAGAGGCCAGCATGTCTGTAGAGATCAGAGGTTTCTGTTACAATAGTGTACCGTAGAGGGAATTTTTTGTTGTCATTGCCTGGCCGAAAGGTATTTTCTTTTCCAAAAGATACTCAGGAGACTTGACTGTTTTCTCCAGCTGGTGAGCTTTTGGAGGCTGATGGGTAAATAAAGCCTTCTACCTTCACGGCTGGCCTGTCACAGCAAAAGGGAAAACAAAACTCAACAACCATCACATGTATTTGAGCAGCGCTTTCAGATTTAAACCACACTTTCAAATCCACTATTTCATTGATCCTTGTTGGAGTCATCCGAGGCAGGCGGAGTGGGGACAGTATAGCCAACTCACATATGAGCATGACACAGTGTTTTCATGAACACATTCTGTGTGGTAGGTATTACCAATCCCATCTTACAGGCAGGGAGACTGAGGCTCAGAGGGGTGAAGGGACTTCCCCATAGCTCCAGGGTTATAGAATGAGGGCTGGAATCCCACCCTCAGTCTTCTTTGCTCTTCTCTGACACTGTCTCAGAGCTTTGTAGAAGAACAGTCTGAACAAGGCTTGGCTTCCTAAGATGTCGGAGAATGGCTTCTGCTTTTTCTGTCTCCTTGGGTTGACCTCCCTCCTTTTTAAAAATGATCCCTCTCATGCTGATGAGCTATTAATTCTGTCTCCCAGGCTTCCCTGCAACCCCTGCGCCACGACCAATGCGTGTGACAAGCCCATCGGGCCCTGCGTCACCAATCCCTGCGCCCCGTGTGGCCCACGCTCCCGCTGTGGGCCCTGCAACACCTTTGGGTGCTAGATATCCAGGGGCCAGCAAGAGGATTGCATGAAGACAGAGGGGCCATCGATGGGCCAGCCCTGCTTCTCTGACGAGCATCAGCCACAGGAGCCAGCCCCAGGCATCCCTATAAATCACGATCTGGAAGGAGAGCAAGCGCCCAGGTGTGGCCCGGCACTGAGCCCAGCCCACCTGACCCTCATCATTCAAGGCTGCTCTCTTGTAGTCATGCTGTGACCTGATGGTCTGCCAGGTCTGGGCTGTGAAGGTGTCATACGACGTGTGTTGTGGTTCTCTCTGTTGCTTTGACCTTCCTTGCAGTTCCCCGAATCCCTTTGTAAATCTAATAAACTTTCCTCTTGCAAAGCAGTGATGGTTCTCATTTGTATTCATTCTTTCCAAAGTGTTCACTCTGTGTGTACGTGCTTCTTATAAAACCACTTGAAAGCACAGGAGGACTGTGTCATTAATCCTCTCCCCAAAGGGCTTCATCACCATTAATTAACATTCATTAGGTGCAGTGAGCCCAGCGTCCGCTTGGGCCAGCTGGAAACCAGTAGGACCACTAAGTCAACAGGATTCACCTGAATATGGTGTATATTCACTATGGAAGCTGACTCAATAATGCACAGTGGGTAACATTTCTAGCAAGTTCCCCTTTTTCTTTTCTAAGTGCCTGCAAGAAGGACAGGAGCTAACATTTATTGGACACTGAGCAAGTACCAGGAACTACACAACTCATTTTCTTTCTTCTGCCCCGAGTAAGGAGCCCAGAAGTGACAGTTATGCTGGTGCCCCGCTCCTGCTGGTGCCTCCTGATGTCCGGCCACGGTTGATAGTTCCCACAGTTGTGCGTGCTGAGTCCATGCAAGCCAACTGTCCCATCTTGGGCTAAAGTGCTAGTTACGTAATCTCTCTTTGAGATGCAGCTGACGCTATGTCCTGCTGCTAGGATGATGGCTGCTCCAGTGTTGGTCATAAACTCTTGTCTTAACACACTTAGCTTCCTAAGTGTCTGCTCCGGTGTCGTTGATTTCGCTGGTGCTGCTGGAGCTCCCTTATCCAGACCTCAGGCGTGGCCCTGGACAATGACAGAGTGACCCTCCACGCTGTGCTCAGAATGTCCCAGATCCAGCTGTTGTACTTCAGCCTCTCATCCTTCCTTCCCAGAAGCCACCTGCATGTGTGCTATGAATACACTTCTGCACTCTATGCAATCAGTTCTCCGTATGTGCTGGGACCACCATTCACCCATGGGTACCAGCAGCTGCCTTTATCAGGGACAGGTGCCTCCCAGACACCCAGTCCTCTGCCTTGCGAGTGAGAGCTCCAATGTTTCAGCGCAGTAAATACACTTTCTCTTACCGCTCAGTGTGTAAAGCATCAAACAAAACGTTGTCTCTATGTTAGTCAAGGCTGTCAATGGGAGGACTAGGTCTGGGGGAGGCTGTCCTGAATCTTGGTCTCTGCCACAGTGATTTCTTTGGTGAAGAAGAGAAAGGAGTTCAAGGAAATCACTCTGTCCCAGGACAAAGCCAGATTGATTTCTGAGCTGTCTGGGTGGGTTTCAGGGCTACTCACCTCGTATATGGGGCAAGACACATGCGCTGAAGTCCCCTGCCGGTGAGCTGTGATTTGCCACCTGGTGAAACAAGGCACTGCTGCTATTTCTTATTTTAACTTGCTAATTATGAAGTATTTCAAACATCTGAAAATACAAAAAAAAACAATAAGACACCTATAAATCCACAACCAAGATTTGATAGATGTAACCTTGTGCTGTATTTACACCATTGCTATGTGTGTGTTTGTTTGTTTGGTTTAGTTTTTGGGAAAAAATGTTACAAGTCGACCTCAAACTGATCCGTTACCCATTCTTCTCTCCCTCTGTCCCCCTGAAGGTAAATTCCATTCTAAATTTGGTGATATATTATTCTCCAATTTAAACACTTCTAAAAATTATACATAGGGTATCCATGTACAGTGTGTGTGTGTGTGTGTGTGTGTGTGTGTGTGTGTGTATGAATTAGCAGTTTAAATTAGAAAATACAAGTGGTATAAAGCTTGCCATCAATTTTCTCCATTCAACATTACGTGTCTGAGATTTATCTGTGTTAATACACATTATTCTTATAATTTATTTTAACTTCTTTGTAGTATTTCATAATGAAACAGATCATGTTTTTATTTACTTATTCCACTGCTAAAGGACAGTTAGGGTGTTTCTTCCTTTCTTTAATCATTATAAACAGTGTTGCAAGAACATCCTTGTCAACATCTCTCTTTATGTACCTGTGTGAGTCATTCTCCAGAGCCGTGGTTCTCAAAGTGTGGTCCTGGGAACCTGGGAAGCTGTCAGAAATGCAAATTCTCCAGTCCTACCCCAGACTTACTAACTCCAAAACTCCGGGGGTAGGGCCCAGCAATCTGTTTTGTTTTGTTTATTTTTTCTTTGTTTTGTTTTACAACTTGGTAAAAACGTTTGGGTATACATCCAAAGGAAATGAAATCACTGTCTCAAAGCGATAACCGCACCCCCATGTTCAATACAGCATTGCTCACAAAAGCCATAAGTGGAAACAAATGTCTGTAGACACAGATAACTGTAATATATATACAGATTACACACACACACACACACACACACACACACACACACAATAGAAGGGGAAAAAAAGAAGGCAATCTTGTCATTTGTGTTCAAAGTGGATAAACTTGGAGGACATTATGCTAAGTGAAATAAGCCAGACATAGAAAGTCAAATACTGCATGGCCTATTTTTTGTTAACATTTAAAAAATAAATAAAAAAAAAACCCTTTGTCTATTTGAGTATAGCTGACACACAATGTTGCATTCATTTATGCATTCTCTCTCTTACATGTGAAATCTAAAGAAGCTGAACTCATAAAAACAGAGAGTAGAAAGGTGGTTGCCAGGGACCAGGGGTGTGATGGAAATGGAGAGCTGTTGGTCAAAGTGTACAAAGTTTCAGTTATACGGGATGAGTACGTCTTAGAGCTCTAATGTACAGTGTGGTGATGATAGTTAATAATACTGTATTGTATTTTTGGGAATTTTTTAAGAAGAAAAATCCTAAGTTAAATCTTCCCAGCATGCATGCGTGCACCTGCAACCCCCCAAACACACACACACCGGAAGGTGACCCAGTAGAGGAGATGAATACGTCATTTAGCTGGATTGTGGTGATCCTTCCACAATGTATGTGTATGTATATAAAAGCATCAAATTGTTCACCCAGCAATCTGTTTTCACTTGCAAATTTGTGCAGTGCCAACAGATACAAATACTGCCAATAAATGTGGGTATGATGGCATCGTGTTGTTATAGCTTGTAGTTTTCTTATTCTTAGTGAAATTAAGCCTTTAAAGAATCTTTTGATTGGCCATTTGGGTTTCTTATTAACTCAATAAATTCAACTCAATAATCATGGAAGGCCCACGATGACCTAAAGCTGTCCTGGGTGTCAGGACAGGGGAGTGAAAGAAACTAAGACCTGCTCTCAAGGAACTTACGTTCAGGTGGGGAGACAGGCAGTAAAAAGAGTCAGACAAACATGACTATGTCAAGTGGTAAGTGCTAAGAAGCAAAACAAAGCTGGGTGCTGTAGACTGTGCCCCCCAAATCCTCATGTTGAAATCCTAGCGCCCATTGTGACAGTATTGGGAAGTGGGGGCCTTGAGGAGCTGATTAGTCCTGAGGATAGAGCCTCATGAGTGGGGTTGGAGCCCTTATAAACAGAGACCCCAGAGGGCTCCCTCACCTCTCCTGCTATGAGAATACTGCTGTCTATGAACCAGGAAGCGGGCCCTCACTGAACACTGAGTGTGCAGGAGCCTTGATCTTGGGCTTCCCAGCCTCTCGACTGTGACAGATAGATTTCTATTGTTTATAAGCTGCCCAGTCTTTGGTAACCTGCAATAGCAGCCTGGATGGACTAAGACCCTGGGGACAGTGTCAAGGGGACAGAGAAGGATGGGGGAAGAAGCCTTTCAGGTAGGGTGGTCAGGGCACTGAACGTCTGACAGAAAAATAGGGTTTAGTCTATTGCATTGAATTTTACTACTGACACACTTGGATTTATTTTTAAAATCTTACTTTGTGCTTGCTATCAATTGTGATTTCTTTCTTAGCTTATTGTTTTCCCCTTTCCTGAGATCTATCAGCTTGATCTTGTTTTCTTTGTTGATGCTTATTAATTTTTAAATGTGCAGACATAGTGCTAATTTTAACTAATCTCTCTCTTCTTGCATATAAAACAAGGTGCAAAGAAATTTTGATTTATGTTCTTTATTTTTTAAGTTCTGCCTTTTAAAAAAAATTTTTTTTAATGTTTATTTATTTTTGAGACAGAGAGAGAGACAGAGCGTGAGCGGGGGAGGGACAGAGAGAGAGGGAGACACAGAATCCGAAGCCGGCTCCAGGCTCGGAGCTGTCAGCCCAGAGCCCAATGAGGGGCTCGGACTCACGAACTGTGAGATCATGACCTGAGCTGAAGTCGGACGCTTAACTGACTGAGCCAGCCGGATGCCCCTAGTTCTGCCTTGTTTTTGCACTCAAAAATTTGGTCATTGTTACTATTATTTTTAGATTTTCCTGTATGTTTACTGGGTTGTTTGCTTCCAATGCTTTTTTCACTTTCTTCCTCCTTTCTGGTTTTAATTTCTTTTTTTTTTTTTTTAATTTTTTTTTTTTTTAACGTTTATTTATTTTTGAGACAGAGGCACAGCATGAACGGGGGAGGGTCAGAGAGAAAGGGAGACACAGAATCTGAAACAGGCTCCAGGCTCTGAGCTGTCAGCACAGAGCCCGACGCGGGGCTCGAACTCACGGACCGTGAGATCATGACCTGAGCCGAAGTCGGCCGCTCAGCCGACTGAGCCACCCAGGCGCCCCTGGTTTTAATTTCTTGTTTTCTGAAATGCATTCTTTGGTAGTTAGTTCCTACAGTACCTGTGATAATTTCTCCCAGTTTCTGTAGTTCAGTGTAGTTCAGTGTAGA